CTTGCCGTAACCTGTGGGCAGCACGCAAATAACATCGTCTCTCAGTAGATAATGATGCAGGGCCTCAAACTGCTAGACCCTATGGTTTCAATTCCGATTTACTCATATTTTGCAAAGAATCAAGAGATAACTTAACACATTCTTTTTCGTAGTCACTCGCCTTGCTTTCTTTGTGTACGGTAATACACTCGGAACTACTCGGATGTCTCCGCACTCGACAATAACTTTGTTGTTAATATGGAGCTTGCGGAATCAGCCGAGGATTGCCGATTGACGGTCAACCAATCAGCGTTTTCACCAAACTTTGGTGAAAAATTTTGAAACATGGATTTGATTGGCTTATATAAACTAGGTCAAACTATTTTCGTCAGAGGTTACTTGACACGATGAAGATAGGCTACAGTGAAGAGGTTAGTGTCAAGTTAGCTCTGAAGCTCAGGGTGCAGTTTACAGATATAACGCCTTGTCTTTTTGTTGAACTCTTAGTTAACATCACGTGTGTGTCCCTTTCTCCGATAAATAACATCTTGATTACTTTATGAACATGTCAATTTATTATCAACTTAGTAATTTTACTAATTAGACACTTAATCAGTGATTTCGAGAATGCGTTGACTCTAATATTGATAAGGACGACCCGAGCAATACGTGAGGTTAGAAAATCTCAAACAAACGTGTGCAAAATCGTGCTAAGGCCCATCCCCTGGCGCGTGGGCATGTGTTCGCTTCCTTTATAATAAGCTTAAACTGACGGCATACTGCTTACTTCGGCAGACTCAGTGAAATACGGTATTCACCAGAAATTTTCCAAGGTATGTTTGTTTTTGCTTAATAATGTTATTATGACAACTTATTGCCTTCGATAATTGGAACAAATAACAACGTGCAATTTGTATTTGTCTTCGATGATAAGTCTGCCAAAAGTCTGCTTTTAAAACAAAACCAATATTTGGATTTTTGTGTTCAGTTGGCTATGATATCATTTTTCAACAGGTTTCTTCTGCACATTCCGCTACCATGAAAGTTTTTATCCTAATTGCATTGGTTGCCGTGGCAACAGCTAAACCAGCTGAGAACTCCTTTGATCGACTTGGTAAGTAGACTTTTTTTTATATTGGTCCTTTAAATAATAAAGCCAATGACTTCACTTGGTGTCATCAATAATTTTCTATTGATTATTTTAATAATAACTAAACTAAATAAAAACCACTAAGGCGATGGCTAACGTAAAAAATGACAGTTTGGGAAACGCAGGTCTCAATAAAGAAATGCTATTGGAAAAGCCAGAAAAATATTGTATTCATCAATAACGTTCATCCAACAATTAACCCACTTTTCTTTGCATTACAAATCTGTTCACAATCTTACCTAAAATTAATCGTAGAGATAAGGGGATTTTATGAAATATCTTCATGTCTGTATTCGCTTTTTTACAGCCCGCTCTTTGGCTGAAGATGAGGTTATGAAGAGGGGTGTCAAAGACGTCCTTATTGACGTTGTTAAAGCCATCTGCGTCCCTGTCATGGACTCCGTGATCGGTCTGACCAATGGCACATGTGCCGTATTGGCCGCTTCTGCCGACAGCACCTGCATACAGCTTGCTGACCAGTACCTTGGCGGCTTCTTCTCTGGTCTGTTCTCTACCCCTGTTGCATCCATGTGCAAAAACTTGGCTGATCTTGTCATCATCGAGTGCAACAAAGGAACCGTGCAAAACTACGCCAGCGGTGTATGCGCCGCACTTGCCAACAAAATGGGCTAAATGAACTTTTTTTGTAAATTTCCTGAGTCAAAAATAAATGGAAGAAAGACAAAAAGAAATATATTGATGATTTGCACAACTTACACACTTATTTCAGTGCGTGTTTATCAATGTGTGTGTGTGTGTGTGTGTGTGTGTGTGTGTGTGAGAGAGAGAGAGAGAGAAAGAGACAAACAGAGAGAGAGAGAGAGAGAGAGAGAGAGTGAGAGGATTTTAATTATCTCATCATATATTATTTGTGATCCGGAAAAATATGAGGAAGTTCATGCAGATTGTGTATTGATGCACACATAAAGATTAAATATTTCAAGCGATGAAACGTATCTGGTTCTCATATTAATAATTTAAATTCTTATCATTTATTTTATCGTCATTTGGACGCTACAGTTTGGAATTTTACGTACTTACCGGTAAGCCTAGGTTACTTTTACACGGTTGCCGTACGATAAAATTGTCCATACTATTTACTTATTTATTTATTTATTTATTTATTATTTTTATTATTATATATTTTTTGAAATCGTAAGGAGCTACGGCCTACGCCGAATATGTGTATATTACATGGTCTTAAACCCGATTTCGCACTGCCACCGTCTACCTCCGCTCAGACGCCGTACTAAAAGGGTATTACGGGCAGTAAACGTGCACTGTAAGGGCATCGCATTTCAAATGTAATCTAGGCTTTAGAAATACGAAAATAATAATGTATCTCAAGCGCGCTGCAGTAGACACAACAGACAATAACCGGTGGCAAAACGCACCATACGTTTGTTCAAATAGCTTTTTACAGGTTTCTTTTATATTTTCAATTCTTTTTATAATCTCTTAAAAGAGTATTTGAGAAAACTAGGAAGTTTAAGGTGATCTGATGGCAAGCACGGATTCAATAATAATTTCGAGAAATGTTTTTCAGTGATAAAATTGAACTACTGAGTACTTATATTCTTGTCTGTCCTTTTGGCCTCACCGTGACCTCGCTGAATATCCTGGTAACAACTGCATGAATATTCGGTTTTGTTGACTTTGAAATAGCAACTATTTAAATGATAAATTCTTTTAATTTTCATTTAATTTTTATTTCCAGAAGTTTATAAGGTTGTTATATAACATTATGTGTCCTGAATGCAATTTGTTTTATTATATAGATGTGTGGGTTAAATGTCTTCAGGATGTTATTAGTGTACAGGTCAAGTTAAGGAAGACAGTTCGTATAAAGTCACACTCGGTTATAACATAATTAAATGCCTTCTGCCTTGAAACTATATCAACCACCTTGATCAATCAGTTTAAATAATCAACCTATTGTTTATTAGTAGAAGTCATTTAGAACTCAGTGTGGAAGTCTACTCTATCATATGTGTAATGAAATTAAAGTGGCCACTCCCGTAACCCACCTTGCTTGGAAGCCAGTGTAATGTTATTGTATATGTGAAGGTATATAAAGATGGAAATAAATGTAGGGGTGGGTACTCAATAGTCAGTACTTAGAGAGGACACCCCTGTCATCGCCTCTGTGATTATTCTGACTAATGGCGGGTGTGCCCTTATGTCCTCTTCTGCCGACAGCACTTCCAAAAAGCTTGCTGACCAGTATCTTGGCAGTGCCATTACCTCTTTGGTCTGATTCTATCCCTGATGCATCCATATACTCTGACTTGATAAAATCGCAGTCAACGAGAGTAACTATGGAAATGTGCAAAATTTGCCGGCAGCGTGAGTGGGAAGCTCGCTAATGTCATCGGTTTGATTGGTAGTTATGGTGCCAAAGTAAACTATTATCTTTCAATACCTGTCTTTTCTGCTTTTATTACGAGTGACATCAAATAAAGATATCTGAGAGAGAGAGAGAGAGAGAGACAGAGAGCACTATGTCACCGTTCACATATATGATATCCCTTATTTAATCTTGTTTTATTCTAGGTAAGCATCATTTTGATAAAATATGAACATTTGGTTTAATTACTTACTTCTAAATTTTATCAATTAGTTACTTTACTAATTATTACGTGAATGTGTTGACCCTAATATTGATAAGGACGACACGAACAGTACGTGAGGTTAGGAAATCTCACACAAACGAGGGCAAAATCGTGCCAAACCCGATCCCCAGCGCGTGGGCATGTGCTCGTTGACCCTTTATATAGCTAGAACTGACGGCATACTGCGCACTTCTGCGGAATCAGTCAACTACAGCATTCTTCAGAATTTTTAAGGTTGGTCTGTGCTTTTTCTTGCAGTGAATAGTACAATGTATAATTATGACAACTTCTTGCCTTAAAATAATCGAAACCCATAGCGATGTACAATGTATAATTTGCATTTGGCGTCTCTGATAAGACCTACCAAAGTTAATTCTAAGGCGGCAAGGATTTTGTTTTCAATCAGCTATCATATCATTTATCAACAGGTTTGATCTGCATATTCAGTTACCATGAAGTTTTTGATCCTAGCTGCTTTGGTTGCCGTTGCAACGGCTAAACCAGCAGAGAACTCCATTGAGCGTCTTGGTAAGTAGACTTTATATGTTGGTGTCAAAAATGTTCTCCACATAATTTGAATAATTACTTACGAACAAATCACTAAATAGCCGTTTTAGGATATGGTTCACGGAAAAACTCCCAATTTGGGAAACGACGAGTCTAAATAAAACAACAATATTTGAAAGTCATGAAAAATTGTAATCACCGATCACTTTCCTCATACAATTAACCCACTTGTCTTTGCATTACAAAAAGAAAGTTTTCTTTTTGTTTCCACGTTCTGGTGTTTTTTTTAATATTAATTTATTTGATTTATTCTCTTCCTCATAAACTATTCAGGAATATATCCGTTTTGCTTTTTATTTAAACGTAAATATTAGAAAAAATATCTTAAAAGATAAGGGTATTTAAAAAAATATTGCCATGGCTGTATGCTTGCATTTTTGCAGCCCGCTCTCTAGCTGAAGATGAGGTTATGAAGAGAGCCTTCACAGACACCCTCAAGAATGTTGCTGGAGCCATCTGCGTCCCCGTCATAGACTCTGTGATCGGTCTGACCAATGGTACATGTGCCGTACTGTCCGCTACTGCCGACAGCACCTGCATACAGTTTGCTGAAAAGTACCTTGGCGGCTTCCTCTCTGGTCTGTTCTCTACCCCTGTTGCATCCATGTGCCAAAACTTGGCCAATCTCGTCATCAAAGAGTGCGAGAAAGGAACCGTGCAAAACTACGCCAGCGGTGTATGCGCCAAACTTGCCAACTCAATCGGCTAAATGAACTTTTTGTAAATTTCCTGAGCCAAAAATAAATGGAAGACAAAAAGAAATATATTGGTGAATTGTGCAATTTACATTTTTATTTTAATGTGTATTAATCAATGTGTGTGTGTGTGTGTGTGTGTATGTGTGTGTGTGTGTGTGTGTGTGTGTGTGTGCCCGCGCGTGAGAGAGCGAGAGAGAGGATTTTATGTTTCGATGCATACGTAAATGCTAAATATTTCAAGCGATAAAACGTTTCTGTGTCTCAGATTAGTAATTAGAATTCTTATTTATTTTATCGTCATTTGGGCGATAAAGTTTTGGAATTTTACGCAGTAACTACCACTGGAAATACCAAAATAATAATGCATCTCAAGCGGGCTGCAGCTGACCCAACAGGATTTTCATTGCCGCGAATCAGCGTTGGTCAGCTGGAGAATATGACGATAACCCACGAGCGACAATAACTGGTGGCAAAACGCACCATACTTTTACTCGTTCAAATAGCTTTTTACACGTTTCATTTATTCAGATATTAGTGCATAAAAAATAAATTAATTAATTAATAAATAAGTATTTGTTTTTAGCATCGTATCGGTTTGCGTACCTTAACTCTACGCATCCTGGCGGCGTGTTAAATGTAAAATGTAGGCCTTTATAGATGTGCATTACACCCCCATTTTAGTCTAATTAATCCAGTATATTACAGAAGTCATTCAATTAAACGAATCATTGTTCCGGCTTTAGAAAATTTTTCAGAAAAAAAGAAACGCTTTGCTAGAACCAGTATGTTTGAAGATATCTACAACATTTGTCTAAAAGTTATAGCGATGACAACTCTTCATTTTGGCGGGAAAGTGCCATAAAACGGATTTTGCTGGGGCAAAGGTCAATTTTCCCATACGTTCCAATGGTAAGCAGATCTGTTGTGACATTCAAAGTAACTGTTACTTGATTGTTTTTTAAGTGTGCTTTTTTATTATCACTTAGGAGATTGTTACAAAGTGTGGCCATCTGTGAAGTTCAAGGATGCCTAATGGCAAGCGCGGATTCTATAGTAATTTCGAGAACTCTTTTTCGTTGATAAAGTGGAATAACTTATATTTCAATGTGTTTCTTACAATGTATTGATTGTGAAATTTTAAAACACATATGAAGAGTTGTTATCCACGTAAGTCCGGGCATAAGTCCATTTTTGTGAAAACGATTACTGGTGTGCGTGCCTGGGCAGTTATAAGGTAGTCTGTCCACTTTAACTCACCGTGACCTCGCTGAACATGCGGGTAACAAAGTACAATTGTTTTGTTACAGTGCTTTAGCGGTAACAGCAGTCTGGTGGTGCGTGAATCCTATAACCTCAAGGAAACTTTTTCATCTTTTTGAATCAGTTCGTTTGCACATGCCAAATGGATAAATTCACACGGCCCACAAATGGCTGTTTGGTGGTACGGTACGTGTACGTGACAACATTTGTACAAAGTCTGCAAAGACATGTTGTTGTAGATGGCGCCACCATGCTGATCACCTAGATTGCTTTCTGTGTTCCATTCAACATGTTTACACGTTGCTGTAGATAGGGATCTGGTATTTTCCATATGAAATCGTTTTTCACAATACTGGTTTCTAAAAGGGTTTTCTCCCGTGTGTGTCCTCTCAGGCTGCTTACAGTTATGTTCATATGAATCTCTCTTCATAGTACTTACAGTTAAACAGTTTTTCCTGAGTGTGATTCATTGGCTAAACCAGCTGAGAATTCCATCCAACGTCTTGGTAAGTAGACTTAACTTTTAATGTAGGTCCTTGAAATTATTTAACCTGTTTTGACAAAAGAAGTGAAGCCAGTAGCCAGTACTTAGAGAGGACACCCCCGTCATCGACTCTATGATCGGTCTGACCAATGGCGGATGAGCCCTGCTGTCTTCTATTGCTGACAATAACCTGCGTACATCTTGCTCACCAGTACCTTGGCGGCTTCCTCTCAGATCTGTTCTCTGCCCCTGTTGCCTCCATGTGCTCCAACATGGAGAATCTCGCCGTCAACGAGTGCAACAAAGGAACCGTGCAAAACTTCGCCCGCAGCGCGTGTGGCCAGCTCGTCAACGCCGTTGCTAAGAATACTTTTTTTTTCGTGTGAACCTTTTAAGTAGTTATGGTGCGGAAATAAAGCATTTCTTTGAATTCATGTCTTTTCTGCTTTCATTTAGATTGACATAATAAAGATGTCTGAGAGAGAGAGAGAGAGAGAGAGAGAGAGAGAGCAAGAGAGGCAGAAAGATAGCACTGCGTCACAGTTTAAAGATATATCGCCTTGGGTTTTTGTTGAACTCTAAGTAAACATCACGTGTGTGTCCCTTTCTCCGATAAATAACATCTTGATAACTTTATGAACATGTCAATTTATTAGTAACTTAGTGATTTTACTAATTAGACACTTAATCAGTGATTTCGAGAATGCGTTGACTCTAATATTGATAAGGACGACCCGAGCAATACGTGAAGTTAGAAAATCTCAAACAAACGTGTGCAAAATCGTGCTAAGGCCCATCCCCTGGCGCGTGGGCATGTGTTCGCTGGGCCTTTATAATAAGCTAGAACTGACGGCATACTGCGTACTTCGGCAAACTCAGTGAAATACGGTATTCACCAGAAATTTTCCAAGGTATGTTTGTTTTTACTTGTCGTGTATAATGTTATTATGACAACTTATTACCTTCGATAATTGGAACAAATAGCAACGTGCAATTTGTATTTGACTTCGATGATAAGTCTGCCCAAAGTCTGCAAAACCAATATTTAATTCTAAGGCAGCAAGGATTTTTGTGTTCAGTTGGCTATTATATCATTTTTCAACTGGATTTTTCTGCATATTCCGTTACCATGAAGGTTTTTATCCTAATTGCACTGGTTGCGGTGGCAACGGCTAAACCAGCTGAGAACTCCATTGAGCGACTTGGTAAGTAGACTTTTTTTATATTGGTCCTTTAAATAATAAAGTCAATGACTTCACTTGGTGTCATCAATAATTTCCTATTGATTATTTAAATAATAACTTAAAAACACGAAACTAAATAAAAATCACTAAGGTGATGGCTTACGCAAAAAAAAAAAAAAAAAAAAAAAAAAATTGGGAAACGTAGGTCTCAATAAAGAAATGCTATTTGAAAAGCCAGAAAAATGTTGTATTCATCAATGACGTTCATCCGACAAATCACCCACTTTTCTTTGCATTACAAATCTGATCACAATCTTACCTAAAATTAATCGTAGAGATAAGGGGAATTTATGAAATACCGTCATGGCTGTATTCGCTTTTTTACAGCCCGCTCTTTGGCTGAAGATGAGGTTATGAAGAGGGGCGTCAAAGAGGTCCTTATTGACGTTGTTAAAGCCATCTGCGTCCCTGTCATGGACTCCGTGATCGGTCTGACCAATGGTACATGTGCCGTACTGTCCGCTACTGCCGACAGCACCTGCATACAGCTTGCTGACCAGTACCTTGGCGGCTTCCTCTCTGGTCTGTTCTCTACCCCTGTTGCATCCATGTGCCAAAACTTGGCTGATCTCGTCATCATCGAGTGCAACAAAGGAACCGTGCAAAACTACGCCAGCGGTGTATGCGCCGCACTTGCCAACAAAATGGGCTAAAAGAAAATTTCCTGAGCCAAAAATAAATGAAAGAAAGACAAAAAGAAATATATTGATGATTTGCACAACTTACACACTTATTTCAGTGCGTGTTTATCATTGTGTGTGTGTGTGTGTGTGTGTGTGAGAGAGAGAGAGAGAGATAGGATTTTAATTATCTCATCATATATTATTTGTGATCCAGAAAAATATGAGGAAGTCCATGCAGATTGTGTTTTGATGCACACATAAAGATTAAATATTTCAAGCGATAAAACGTATCTGGTTCTCATATTAATAATTTAAATTCTTATCATTTATTTTATCGTCATTTGGACGCTACAGTTTGGAATTTTACGTACCTACCGGTAAGCCTAGATTACTTTTACACGGGCGCCGTACGATAAAATTGTCCGTACTATTTATTTATTTATTATTATTATTTTATTTATTTTATTATTATTATTTTATTTATTATTATTATTATTTTTTTTTTTTTTGAAATCGTAAGAAGCTACGGCCTACGCCGAGTATGTCTACATTACATGGCCTTAAATCCTATTCCGCACTACCACCGTCTACCTCCGCTCAGACGCCGTACGAAAAGGGTATTACGGGCTGTATACGTGCACCGTAAGGGCATCGCATTTCAAAGGTAATCTAAGCTTTAGAAATACGAAAAAATAATGCATCTCAAGCGCGCTGCAGTAGACCCAACAGTATTTTCATTGCCGCGTAAGAGAATACGACGATAACCCACGAGCGACAATAACCGGTGGCAAAACGCACCATACGTTTGTTCAAATAGCTTTTTACACGTTTCTTTTATTTAAATTACTTATTCAGATATTAGTGTAAAAATAAATAAATAAATAAAGCATTTGTTTTTAGCATCGTATCGGTCTACTTACTTTAACCGTACGCATCCAACTGGCGCCTTGCTAAATGTACAATTTTTTAGGGCATCTTCCCTGTAAGGAACAGAGGACGTCAACAGTGGGAAATATATTTAAACGTTTTCCCAATAAGAACTGAAACTACATTAGTCGCATAAAAGATGTATGAACAATTCTTTAGAAAAGAATGATTAAATCAAAATAAGCAGTACTCGCCATTGTGAAAACCAAAGCATTTTGGCCTATACATGTATAGCCGCACCATTACACCCAAAATTCATTTTTATTAAACCAGTATAATACAGTAGTCCTCCAATAAAATGAATTATTGTTCCTGTTTTGGAAAACTTTCCAGAAAAAAAAAACGATTTACTAGTACAAGTATGCTTGAAGGTGACTACAACATTGGTCTTAACGTTATAGGGGTGACAAGTTCCATAAAAGGATTTTGCCGGGGCAATGGTCAAATTTCCCATATGGATCCGTTCTGATATTCAAAGTTACTGTTTCTCGATTGTTTTTTTAAGTGCGCTTTTTATAATCTCTTAAAAGAGTATTTCTGAGAACCAGGAAGTTCAAGGTGATCTGATGGCAAGCACGGATTCTATAATAACTTTTTTCAGTGATAAAATGGAAATACTGAGTACTAATTTGCTGCTTACAATGTACAAATTGTGAAATTTCAAAGCACATATGAAACGTTGTTGTCCCTTTAAGCCTGGGCAAAATTCCATTTTTTTTTTTTTTTTTTTTTTGAAAACGTAATGGTCTGCGTGTCTGGGCAGTTATAAGGTGGTCTTTTGACCTCAACGTGACCTCGCTGAATATCCTGGTAACAACTGCATGAATATTTAATTTTGTTGAATTTGAAATAGCAACTATTAAAATGATATTCAAATTCATTTGATTTTTATTTCCAGAAGTTTATAAGGTTGTTATATAACATTATGTGTCCTGAATGTAATTTGTTTTATTATATAGATGTGTGGGTTAAATGTCTTCAGGATGTAATTAGTATACAGGTCAAGATAAGAAAGTCAGTTTGTATAAAGTCACACTAGGTAACATAATTAAATGAGAATCCAGATTTTTGATTAATAGAACATCCACCTCAAAACGTATATTCAGGAATTGTCTTCTGCCCTGGAACTATATCATCCACCTTAGTTAAAGTTACTAACCTATTGTCTACCGGTAGAAGTCATTTAGAACTCAGTCCTCTATCATACGTGTAATCAAATTAAAGTGGCCACTCCGGCAGGCGGCAACCCGCCTGGCTGGGAAACCAAGGTAATCGGGATTTAGACGTTACAATTTTTACCACGAACCTAGTAGGTTATACTAACGCGTTATCCTAACTAAAAGTTTCCAACGGTGTCCGTATTTCGAGCCCAATTCTAAATTACATTTATATCTAAAATTTGCACGGTTCCAGACACGCTGTTGCATCCATGTGCCAAAACTTGGCTATCTCGTCATCATCGAGTGCAACAAAGGAACCGTGCAAAACTACGCCAGCGGTGTATGCGCCGCACTTGCCAACAAAATCGGCTAAATGAACTTTTTGTAAATTTCCTGTGCCAAAAATAAATGCAAGGAAGACAAAAAAAAATATACTGATGATTTGCACAACGTACATATTTATTTCAATGCGCGTGTGTTCCTTAATGCTCTTTATTAGAGAGGTTTAGCAAACGACGAACAACGAAGACGAAAGACGAATTGAGTTCGTTCACACATTAAATACGCGTTAAAGCACGTTTACTGGTAAATGAACATATGTTGCTTCTTATGATTGCCTTCATGTTGGTTTATCGTTTGTGAAAACGGATATAAAATAGATACAAACTGGGCATTTTTTTCTCACGACCTCTATTGTTTTCGTATGCGTTGTTCGGTGTTTTCGAAACGACCGCTACGATATATGACGTACGAACCTAGTTTTCGTACTTCGTCGTTGTTTTTCGTCGTTTGTTAAACCTCTCTATTGTTTCTTCCTAACTACGTTATCTACATTTTCTTTCTCTCCCTTCAACCTTCCACATTGTTTTCCTACATGCACAACCTCTTACATCGTTCTCATTCGTTTTGGAAAAATGAGGTCTAATTGAGGGTATAGCATTTGAAAGTTCAGAAACATTTATTCATCGATTATCTTCCTCCAAAAATTAAACCACTTTTCTTTTCATCACCAAAATTACATTAAAAAGAAAAACGTTTTTTTTTTCTTTTGTTTCGTCATGTTCTGGCATTTTTTAAAATTAATTTGTATTTCCTCTTCCTTATAAATAAATCAGGATAATACCTGTTTTGTTTTTTATTCAAACGAAATATAATCGCAATCTTAGCAAAAACGAATTTTAAAGAGTTGTTTTGGTTGCCGTAGCAAAAGATAAGTGAATTATATTGAAAACTATCATGGCTGTTTGCTCGCTTGTTTCGCAGCCCGCTCTTTGGCTGAAGATGAGGTTATGAAGAGAGGTATCCTCAGTAACGTACTTAATGCCATTTGCATCCCTGTCATGGACTCCGTGATCGGTCTAACCAATGGTGGATGTGACGTTGTGGCTTCTAATGTCTACGGTTACTGCATACAGCTACCCTGAGTGTCAGAGCAACGTAAAAGCTAGCTTGCTAAATATACCTTGTCAGGGGCGGATTTAGGCCGTCTTCTGGGTCTTCCAGAAGACGGTCAGATTTTCAAGTTTACATTGACGGGTATCCAATTTTTAATGTTAGAAGACGGTCAAAATTGGAGGATGAATCAACAAAGATAATTTGGAAGACTGTCAGTATATAGCTCTGGATCCGCCCCTGCTTGTGGTGGAGTCGCTTTTACTAACTCTGAAGACCAGCGGCCATGAAAGTTTTCCATCAATCAAATAGAACTGCTCCGCAGTGAAACTGCAGTTGAATGTCATTAGACCAAAATGAAACATAAAACAAATTTAATTCTGCTTTATTTAATTTTATTTGCTGTATTTCAGATGTAAAGTGAAAAAATAAATAATATTCTTCGGAAAGAAAAGATATATCCAATGTTTTTGTATTTTTTGCTTATCAAAGAACATTTAGTCCTGAGATATACACGTGCACAATACATGTGCTTGCCGTGTGCCAAATTTGACAGCTACACTGTATGCCCGATACAAATATAAGGGCTGCGCAATGGCTACACGAAAATAAGTTTTTACAGCAGAATGTTGCTTGTATTGTGGCACTGACCTTCGACTGCAAGATATTTTCAATTCAAACTTCTAACTCCGCGTCAGGCACTTTAATTGCTTCTTATCTCGCCTGCACGAGACTTCAGCGCAAGGCGGGAAAGGCAGCTCCAGGCGGCCAAACCTGTGACGTAAGAGACTTATGACTTCCAAATATGGATCCAGGCGGACACAGCTGTGACGTGTGACTTCCAAATATGGAAGCGCCCCAGGCAGAATTTTGAAGAAGAACGTCCCCGAGATGCCGCTGTTCGCTAGAGCCTGGTATTGCTACTATGGGTTATATATGAAATCAAGATCGAGCTGGCAATACCGGAATCTAGAACCTAGGGTACATACAGCTTGCTCAGCAGTACCTTGGCAACGTCCTCCCTGATCTCTACTCTGACATTGTTGCAAAAATGTGCAAAAACTTGGCTGATCTCGTCATCATCGAGTGCAACAAAGGAACCGTGCAAAACTACGCCAGCGGTGTATGCGCCGCACTTGCCAGCAAAATCGGCTAAATGAACTTATTTTGTAAATTTCCTGTCCCAAATATAAATGCAATGAAGACAAAAAGATTCGATGATTTGCTTAACTTACACCTCTGTTCGCGTTGCTCAGTGTATGTGTGTGAGTGTGCGCACGCGTGTGATTGCGTGTGAGAGAGATACTTCTTATTATATTATCATATATTATTTGTGATCCGGAAAAATATGAGGAGCCCCATGCAGATGCAATAATTCTTGAAAAATAAATAGCAATAATATTTACGTCAATTAAGTTATTTACATTCTTATCACGTATTTTATCATCATTTAGACTCTACAGTTAAGAAAAATTTTACGCAGAACCAACCCTTAGCAATACCAAAATTATAATGCATCGCAGGTGCACTGCAGTTGACCAAACAGAATTTTCATAGCGGTGTTCCAACGTTGGTCAGTTGGACAAAATGAAGTTAACCTACCGACAACATTAACAGGTGGCAAAACGTACCATACGTTGGATTGATCAAATGGTATTTAACACGTTTCTTTATATGTACATGTAAATTACCTATTCAGGTATTAGTGCAAAAATTTTATGAACATCTGGGTTGCAAGAAAGTATAGAAAAAAAAACCAGGAAAACAACAAATACACAGACAACTTGGCAGGACAAAATGAAAGACAAGTACAAAATTACTACCAAAGCGCAAAGCGAAAATAATGATATTAGTAGTTAATGACTATTACGATATTTAGATTATGATAACGTTGCTAAGAGGGCAATATTATTGGTAATCTAAAATTATCAAATTAAACGAGATTCCCCAATAATTGGGCATCTACCACCAATTCTGACAAAACTTAAATTTTACAAGATGAGAGGTGATACAACATGTAGCTCCGTAAGGACCAGGACTCATGCAACAACGTCAATGAAAGTTAAGAAACTCATAACTGCAGAAACATCCTTGGAAGGCCTGCTGTCTTTTAATATTCGGCAAAATTTTTGTTTTTAATTGCTTTGAACTTAGCAATGTCTGCTAATTTTAAGCAAAAACACTGGGAAACATTAAAATAACCAAAAATGGAGATCAGATTTTTTAATAAAATACAGGTTTTGCATATATCAAATAAAACATCCTAGAATCTTTCAGTGACACTTCCAGTTTTCCATAATTTATTCAAAATGATTTTGAATGATATTTGAGTAATTTCTCATCATTATACATTAATATTTTCGTCATAATACTCTCTGCTTTTGTAACCCTGTGTCTTTTGCTCTAGTTTACTAGTAATCTGACCATACTTCAATCTCCCTTTAAGTCTAACCAGCCACCAAGACCTTAAACTACAGACTTCAGAAACTAAGAGACCATACCCACAGATATTTGGATCGATCTGTCTTCCTTTGGGAGTCTCACTAAATTGCTGTTACTTGACCGACTTAAATGTCTGTCACGCCTAGTAAAGCTGTAGGCTGTAGGCATGACAGACATCTAAGCCGGTTATTTGATAGCAATTTAGGGAGACTCCCCAGGTAGTTTGATCGATCCAGATGGGTCGATCTAGGCATGGGAACCCAGTCTTATTTCAAGCTTTGACCAGTGAGCACATAATTTGCCAGACACTGTGACATGAATGCCGACGTTGCTATCAATGCTAATTATCCTCTTGAATCTTTTCTCGGTCAAGTCTCTTACTGTTGTCACGGTAACAGTTCCATATACTACCTTGCCTTGGTTAAAGTGATCTTCAATACGCTGTATAAATAACTAACCAGGGCTCCGTATCTCGAAAGGTTCGCTATGTTGCGCACGTGCGCAAGCGTCTCGATTCCATGGCCCCGTATCTCGAAATAGAATCGATTATGGAATCGAGACACTTGCGCACGTGCGCAACATAGCGAACCTTTCGAGATACGGAGCCCAGGTTACCAAAATAGCATTAAAGCGCAGCCATAAGCTGTATGTTTAATGTATTAGCCAGCATCATTCATCAGCATCATCATTATCTACAAAAACATTCCTCAAGATTGCAGCAGGATATATCTCTGGTCGCACTTCCAGAGCAATGTTATCATCAAACTGCTTTTAATACTTATTCTCAAACTCCAAAATCTGTATACGATTGCTCTGAAATTTCATCCTGAAACTCCCTCTTTACTGAAATGAACGTCAACCCAGCCTGCAGTCTCAGGCAGCGTGGAAATGATTTGTTTGAATCCACCATGGTTCTTGGTTATTCTTTGTCCAGTATCACTGTACTCATTTATCCAATAAACACTTTTCCACTTGTTTGGCTTTTTCCAGTATGAGGCATTCCATGTCGATGGCAGTTTTTAACAAAGAATTTTTTCTCCACGCTGATGATATATATATATATATTGCTTAACTTTTTAGCAGCCCAATCTCTGGCTGAAGACGAGGCTATGAAGAGGAATGTCATCAGTGACACTTGTACCATCTGCACCCACTGCCCTGTCATCGACTCTGTGATCGGTCTGACCAATGGTCGATGTCGACTACTGTACTCTTCTGCCGACTGCACCTGCAGACAGCTTAATGGCCAGTACCTTGGTAACTTCCTTTCTAGTCTTTTCTTTGTCCCTGTTTCATCCATGAGCTACCCCTCGGCCAAACTCTTTCAATATCTGTCTTTTCTGCTTCTATTACGATTGACATCAAATAAAGGTGTCTAAGAGAGAGAGAGAGAGGGAGTACTATGTCACCGTTCACGTATATAATATTCCTTATTTAATCTTGTTGAATTCTAGGTAATCATAATTTTGATAACAATATGAACATTTGGTTTTATTATTTACTTAGTAATTTAACCAATTAGTTACTTTATAAATAATTACATGAATGCGTGGACCCTAATATTGATAAGAACGACACGAACAGTACGTGAGGTTAGGAAATCTCACACAAACGAGGGCAAAATCGTGCCAAACCCGATCCCCCGGCGCGTGGGCGTGTGCTCGCTAACCCTTTATATAGCTAGAACTGACGGCATACTGCGAACTTCGACGTACTCGGTCAACTACAGCATTAACCAGAGCTTTTAAGGTTGGTCTGTGCTTCTTCTTGCAGTGAGTAGTATAATTATGACAACTTTTTGCCTTAAAAAATCGAAACACATAGCGACGTATAATTTCCATTTGGCTCTGATAAGACCTGCCAAAATTAATTCTAAGGCGGCAAGGGTTTTGTTTTCAATCAGCTATCATATAATTTATCAACAGGTTTGTTCTGCATTACCATGAAGTTTTTGATCCTAGTTGCTTTGTTTGCCGTGGCAACGGCTAAACCAGCTGAGAACTCCATTGAGCGTCTTGGTAAATAGCCTTAGTTTTTATGTTGGTCCTTTAAATTATAAAATCAATTATTTCACTTGGTGTCGAAAATTTTCTCTTAACAATTTGAATTAAAACTTACGAACAAATCACTAATTAGAAAAACTCTCAATTTGGAAAACGACGAGTCTAAATTAAAGGATAGTATTTGAAAGTCAGAAAAAATTGCATTCTCCAATCACTTCCCTCCTACAATTAACCCACTTTTCATTGCATTACAAAAAAGAAAGTCGATTTCTTTTTTAGACATGTCCTGGCCTTTTTAAATGTATTTTATTTGATTTATTCTCTTTCTATTCTTAAACTATTCAGGCATTTCAGGAATATGCCTGTTTAGCTTTTAATTTAAACGTAAATCTTAGCAAAAATGAATTAAAAGATAAGGGAATTTTATGACATATCATCATGGGTGTGTGCCCATTTTTTTGCAGCCCGCTCTCTGGCTGAAGACGAAGTTATGAAGAGGGGCATCCTAAATGACGTAGTTGCTGCCATCTGCGTCCCCGTCATGAACTCCGTGATCGATCTGACCAATGGCACATGTGCTGTACTGTCCGCTTCTGCCGACAGCAAATGCATACAGCTTGCTGACCAGTACCTGGGCGGCCTCCTCTCTGGTCTGTTCTCTAAACCTGTTGCATCCATGTGCCAAAACTTGGCCGATCTCGTCATCATCGAGTGCAAGAAAGGAACCGTGCAAAAATACGCCGGCGGTGTATGCGCCACACTTGCCAGCAAAATCGGCTAAATGAACTTTTTGTAAATTTTCTGAGCCAAAAATAAATGGACGAAATACAAAAAGAAATATATCGATGGTTTGCACAACTTACACATTTATTTGAATGCGTGGTAATCAATATGTGTGTGTGTGTGTGTGTGTTTGTGTGCGCGTGAAAGAAAGAGAAAGAGAGAGGATTTTAATTATCCATTATATATTATTTGTGATCCGGAAAAATATGAGGAGGTCCATTCAGATAATGTTTTATGCATACGTAAAGGTTAAATATTTCTAGCGATAGAACGTACCTGGTTCTCAGATTTGTAATTAAAATTCTAAAGTTTGGATATACGCAGTATCTACCGTTGGAAATACGAAAATAATAATAATGCATTGCTGATGCACTGCAGTTGACCCAACAGTATTTTCATTTTTTAATTCCAATGCTTCAAGGATTTTGTGTTCAATAGGCTAATATATAATTTTTAACAGGTTTGTTCTGCACATTCAGCTAGCGTAAAGGTTTTGATTCAAGTTGCTTTGGTTACCGTGACAACCGTGGCATTGCCGCGTATCAACGTTGGTCGGCTGGACAATATGACGATAACGCACCGGCAACAATAACCGGTTGCAAAACGCACCATACGTTTAATTGTCAAATAGCTTTTCACCCGTTTCTTTTATCTAAATTGCTTATTCAGATGTCAGTGCAAAAAAAATAAATAGATAAATAAATAAATAAATAAATAAATAAATAAATAAATAAACATTTGGTTTTTAAGCATCGCGTTGGTTTATGTACCTTTTAACTATATATAAAATAGTCTTTTCAGGCGTAAAAACTACGTATTTTGGCACAGTCACAATTATTTAATTTTAGCATAAAAAAATTACTTAATTTCATTTTATAAGAAGGATTCACAATAAAAGCGGCCGGCATCGGCCAAATTTCGAACATCATTCTTGTGTTTGTCACTTTAATGCTTCTTTTTACCGACATCGTATTGAACTTTTTCGATCAAGGAGACATAAAACGGATTTTGCTGGGGCAAAGGTCAATTTTCCTATATGTTCTAAGGTATAGATAAAGTACGAGGCGCTGAGCTTTACGCGAAATAGAGCAGAAAATTGGCGAGGCGAAGCAAGAATTTCGTGTTCAATCGGCTGTTATATCATTTTTAACAGGTTTGTCCTGCACATTCCGTTACATGAAGGTTTTGATCCTATTTGTTTTGGTTGCCGTGGCAACGGCTAAACCAGCTGAGAACTCCATTGATCGTCTTGGTAAGTAGACTTTATTTTTTATGTTGGTCCTTTAAATAATAAATTCAATTATTTCACTTGGCGTCAACAACATTCTCTTGACTATTTCAATAACATCAAAAACCAAGCTTTAAGTAGCCCTTTGAGGTGATGTCCTACGAAAGAAACTCTCAATTTGGAAACGTGTGGTCTCAAGAAAGGAAAAGTATTCAAAAAGTCAGAAAATTTTGTATGCTTCAAAAATTTTCATTCAATAATTTACCCACTTTTCTTTCCATTATAATAAAAGAAAGTTTTTTCCGACATGTTTTGGCGTTTTTTTAATTCATGCTTTTTTCTCTACTTCATAAACTGTTCAGGAATACACCTGGTTTGTTTTTATTCAAACGTAAATCTGATTACAATCTTAGCAAAAAATGAATTTTAAAGATAAGGGTATTATGTGAAAAACCACTATAGCTGTATGTTCACTCTTTTGCAGCCCGCTCTTTGGCTGAAGATGAGGTAATGAAGAGAGGCGTCACAGACACCCTCAATAAGGTTGCTGAAGCCATCTGCGTCCCCGTCATGGACTCCGTGATCGGTCTGACCAATAGCGCATGTGCTGTACTGTCCGCTTCTGCCGACAGCACCTGCATACAACTTGCTGATCAATACCTTGGCAGCTTCCTCTCTGGTCTGTTCTCTAAACCTGTGGAATCCATGTGCCAAAACTTGGCACAACTTGCCTTCAACGAGTGCAATAAAGGAACCGTGCAAAACCTCGCCGACAGTGTATGCGCTAAACTAGCCGACTTACCTATAATCGGCTAAATGAACTTTTTGTAAATTTCCGGTGCCGAAAAATAAATGCAAGTAGGGCAATAAATATATTAATGATTTGCATAACAATTTATAACAATGTGCGTTACTCAGTGTGTTTGTGTGCACGCGTGCGCACGTGTGTGAGTGAGAGAGAGAGAGAGAGAGAGAGAGAGTATTCTAATGTTTTCATCATATATTATTTTTGAGAAAATATGAGAAGGTCCATACAGGTGATGATTTAATGTATACGTAAAAGTTAAAAATATCAAACAATAAAATGTACCTGGTTTTCAGATTTTGACATTTAAGTGGTTAAAATCCCTATCATTTATTTTATCAACAGTACAGTGTGGTAGAGTATGGGTATTTACGTAGTACCTACAATTCGAAAATAACAATACATCTCAAGCACGCCGCAGTTGACCCAACATAATTTTTATATCCGCGTATACCAACGTTGGTCAGCTGTGCAGAATGATGATAACCCACCGGTGACATTAACCCGTGTCACACCGCACAGTACGTAAATTGGTAAAATAGCATTTTTATTTATTATTTTTTTGTAATCATATATTCAGATATTTGTGCAAAAAAATTAAAATAAGTTTTTTGAGCAAAGTAAACGTTACATTCAAAAATACGTTGGCCCTTTTTTTTTCGATAATTACGACCATAGCAGTACGTGAGGTTAGGAAATCTCAAACAAACGGCAACTGAGTGTAATTGTAATTGTATACAATGATAGAAATAAATGTAGGGGTCAGTAGTTAGTACTTAGAGAGGACACCCTCGTGATCGCCTATGTGATCGATCTGACCAATGGCGGATGTGCCCTTCTGTCCTCTTCTGCCGACAGCACCTTCATACAAGCAACTTACCTTGGCATACCTTGGCAACTTCCTCTCAGGTCTTGTCTCTGCCCCTTTTGCATCCATGTGCTCCAAATTGGCCAAATAAACTCGCCCTCAACGAGTGCAACAAAGGAACTGTGCAAAACTTCGCCGGCTGCCAGCTACAGTTGGTTAAAATAGATAATGGTTTATTCGTGAGAAAATTTTTTTGGTAGTTATGTTGCGAAAATAAAGCGTTAGCTTTGCATGAGTACGTGTCTTTTCTGCTCTCATTACGATAAACACCAAATGTATCTGAGAGAGAGAGAGAAAGTACACTCTGTCACCGTTCACAGATATAATATCCTTTATTTAATCATTCGTGTGTTCGTTTCTCCGATAAATCTTCATCATATGAACATTTGATTTTCCTACTTACTAAGTAATTTTGCCAATTAGTCACTTTATTAGTAATTTCGAGAATGCATTGACACTAATATTGATAAGGACAACACGAACAGTACGTGAGGTTAGGAATTTTCACACAAACGAGGGCAAAATCGTGCCAAACCCCATCCCCCAGCGCGTGGGCATGTGCTCGCTGACCCTTTATATAGCTAGAACTGACGGCATACAGCGTACTTCGGCGGAGCCAGTCAAAAACGACATTCACCAGAGCTTTTTGAAGGTTTGTTTGTGCTTTTTCTTGCAGTGAATAGTGTTATTATGACAACTTATTGCCTTCAATAATCGGAATCAATAACGACGTACAATTTGGTTTTGACCACTGTGAAAAGACCTACCAAAATTAAGTTTTGTAAAATAAAACAAAGACAAAAGAAATTTAATTCTATGACTGCAAGAATTTCGTGTTCAATCGGCTGTTAAATCATTTTTCAACAGGTTTGTTCGGCACATTCCGTTACCATGAAGGTTTTGATCCTAGTTGTTTTGGTTGCCGTGGCAACGGCTAAACCAGCTGATAACTCCATTGAGCGTCTTGGTAAGTAGACTTTATTTTTTACGTTGGTCCTTCAAATAATAAAATCAATTATTTCACTTGGCGTCAACAACATTCTCTTGACTATTCCAATAACATCAAAAACCAAGCTTTAAGTAACCCTCTGAGGTGATGTCCTACGAAAGAAACTCTCAATTTGGAAACGTGTGATCTCAAGAAACGAAAAGTATTCAAAAAGTCAAAAATTTTCATACAATAATTTACCCACTTTTCTTTGCATTATAATAAAAGAAAGTTTTTTCCAACATATTTTGGCGTTTTCTTAATTCATCCTTTTTTCTCTACTTCATAAACTGTTCAGGAATACACCTGGTTTGTTTTTTTTCAAACGTAAATCTGATAACAATCTTAAAAAATGAATTTTAAAGATAAGGGTATTATGAGAAAAAACATTATATGATAGCTGTATGTTCACTTTTTTGCAGCCCGCTCTTTGGCTGAAGATGAGGTAATGAAGAGGGGTGTCCTCAGTAACGTAGTGAATGCCGTCTGTATCCCCGTCATGGACTCCGTGATCGGTCTAGCCAATGGTGCATGTGCCTTTCTGGATTCTGCCGACAGCATCTGCATACAGCTTGCTGATCAATACCTTGGCAGCTTCCTATCTGGTCTGTTCTCTAAACCTGTTGCATCCATGTGCCAAAACTTGGCACAACTTGCCGTTAACGAATGCAACAAAGGAACCGTGCAAAACTTCGCCGACATTGTATGCACCAAACTTACCGACTTACCTATAATCGGCTAACTGAACTTTTTTGAAATTTCCTGTGCCGAACGATAAATGCAAGTAGGGCAATAAAATGCTGATGATTTTCATAATGTACACATTTATATCAATGCCCGTTACTCAATGTGTTTGTGTGCACGCGTGCGCACGTGTGTGCGTGAGTAAGAGAGAGAGAATTCTAATGTTTTCATCATATATGATTTCTGAGAAAATATGAGGTCCATGAAGATGATGAGTAAATGCATACGTAAAGGATAAAAATATCAAGCAATAAAATGTACCTGGTTCTCAGATTTTGACATTTAAATGATTAAAATCCCTATCATTTATTTTATCAACAGTACAGTAAGGTAGAGTATGGTATTTACGTATTACCTACCGTTGGAAATACGAAAATAACGATACATCTCAAGCACGCTGCAGTTGACCCAACAGAATTTTTATTGCCGCGTACCAATGTTGGTCAGCTGTACATAATGATGATAACCCACCGGTGTCATTAACCCTTGTCAAACAGCACGGTACGTTAAATTGGTCAAATGGGTTTTTTAATGTTTTTTATGTAAATTACTTTTTCAGATATTTGTGCAAAAATTAAACATACCTTTTTCAGTAAAGTAAACGTTACCAGTAAGTCATTTCATCAGTACATCCAAAAATACGTTTACTCTTTTTTCGATAAGGACGACCCTAACAGTACGTGAGGTTAGGAAATCTCAAACAAGCGGGGGCAAAATCGTGCCAACACCGATCCCCCAGCGCGTGGGCATGTGCTGACGGTATGATGCGCACTTGGGCGGACTCCATCAAATACATCATTCACCGGCACTCACCAGAACCTTTTCATGGTTTGTTTCAGCTTTTCTTTCAATAATTGTGACAGGTAGAATGTGTATTTTACTTCTGTGATAAGACCTACAAGAATTCTGGATTATACAACAAAACAATCTCGATCCTACAGTGTCTGTTGCAAGTTAACAGATTTCAAATATTGTGGTAAATAAAATATAATATTGATGTTTGTCAATTTTTTGCAGGAATACACCTGGTTTGTTTTTATTCAAAAGTAAATCTGATAACAATCCTCCAGCTATGAGAGTGCGTAGGCTCCCTGGGGAGAGGCTGTTAACTGAAAATATTCAGGAAATAATAGCTGGAGGAGGTGATTCTGTACATGTTTGGGGTGCCATTTGCAGCAACGGTATTTGCCCATTGCTTCCTCTATCTGGAGGAAAATCTTAACGCTGCCAGATACAAAGACATTCTCCAGCAGAACCTGGGGCCGTTCGCAAGAGGGATATCCAGAGACAATTTTAGATTGCAACATGACAATGCAACTCCCCACACAGCCCGCTAAATTGCAGACTATATCCGACAAAACAACATTCAGCTGATGCCACATCCAGCAAGAAGCCCAGATGCAAACCCAATTGAGTCTATGTGGGACGAACTTGGTCGTGCTGTTCAGAGGAGAAACCCTCCCCCTACAAATCTAGATGAACTGCGAGGTGCCCTTCAAGATGAATGGACCAGAATTCCTCTCCAAAGAGCTGTAACTCTAGTTCACAGTATGCCACGCCGTCTGGAGGCCATTATCCAAGCTCGGGGTGGGCATACCCGCTATTTAGATTAATGATGAACTCTGAAGATGTTTCTTGACAATTTCTTTTAATTTCAATCACAGTACAAATTTATGTTTAATTTTTCACTTGGTACTGTTACGTAAAAAAGTACTCTTTTTGGGGGCATGAGAAAAAAAAACCTAAATAAATGAACGCTTTTTTCACATTTGCATTGGTTGTTTCTCCTTGACTCTACCAATCCTCCAGCTTCACATATTCAACAACATAAACAGTATTAATTTGGTAATAACAATAATAATGAAAGAAACAGAGCGATATGCATTCCAAAATTTCCGTGTACCAACCATTTTGGGCAAGAGTGTATTATTTGTGAAAAAATATGAGCAGGTACATGCAGATGATGTTTTAATATATATATGTACAAGTTAAAAATATTAAGCAATAAAATGTACCTGGTTCTTAGATTTTCAAAATGTTAATGATTCAAATCCTTATCATTCATTTAATCATCATTGCAATATACAGTACAGCTTGGTATTTTACATAGTACCTACCGTTGGCAATACGAAAATAATGCATCTGAAGCGCGCTGCAGTTGACCAGACAGAATTTCTATTGCCGAGTACCAATGTTGATCAGCTGGACAATATGACGTTAACCCACCCGTGACATTAAAACCCGTGTCAAACCGCGCGGTTTGTTAAATTAGTCAAATAGTTTTTAAAATGTTTTTTTATGTAAATTACTTTTTCAGATTTTTATTTTCAAAAATTAAACAAACCGTTTTGAGCAAAATAAATGTTACCAGGTAGTCACTTCATCAGTGAATTCGAGAATGCTTTTACCTTTATTTCGATAAGGACGACCACAACAGTACGTGAGGTTAGGAAAACTCAAGTTAACGAGGGCAAAATCGTGCCAAACCCGATCCCTGGCGCGTGGGCATGTGCTCCCTGACCCTTTATATAGCTAGAACTGACGGCATACAGTGTACTTCGGCGGATTCAGTCAACTGCAGCATTCACCAGAGCCTTAAAGGTTTGTTTGTGCTTCTTCTTGCAAAGAATAGTGTACTTATGACATACTCTTTCCGTCAATAACTGAAACCAATAACAACGTATAGTTTGTATTTGACGTGTGTGGTAAGATCAACCAAAATTCGGATTTGTCAAACAACACAAAAGAAAATAAATTCTAAGGCTGCGAGGATTTTGTGCTCAATCGGCTATTGTATCAATTTTCAACAGGTTTGTTCTGCACATTCTGTTACCATGAAGGTTTTGATCCTAGTTGCTTTGGTTGCCGTAGCAACGGCTAAACCAGCTGAGAACTCCATTCAGCGTCTTGGTAAGTAGACATATGTTTTTTAAGCTGATTCTCTAATTAATTTTATCAATGATTTCACTTGGTGCCATCAACAATTGCCTATTTCAACTTTAAAATAACAACTTTAAAACAAATGTATCTTTAAATAGCCCTTTAAGGTGATAGCTTACGTAAAAATCTCCCAATTTTGGAAACGTGGGGTCTCAATAAAGGAATAGTAAGTTAAAGTCAAATTTATATTTATCAATTACTTTCCTCCAACAATTAATTCACTTTTCTTTGCACTACAAAAAATAAACTAGTTTTTTTTTCTTTTTGACATGTGGCGGCGTTTTTTTATTCCTATTTTCTGTTACTCATAAACTATTCAAGAATAATACCTCTTTTGTTTTTTATTCAAAATTAAATCTAATCGTAATCTAATCAAAGGTCAAATTTAAATATTAGGGGATTTTATAAAATATCATCATTGGTTTTTGCTCATTTTTTCGCAGCACGCTCTCTGGCCGAAGACGAGGTTATGAAGAGGGGTGTCCTCAGTAACGTAGTTAATGCCATCTGCGTCCCCGTCATGGACTCCGTGATCGGTCTGGCCAATGGCGCATGTGCCTTTCTGGATACTGCCGACAGCATCTGCATACAGCTTGCTGACAAGTACCTTGGCAACTTCCTCTCTGGTCTGTTCTCTGAACCTGTTTCATCCATGTGCCTCAGCTTGGCCAAACTCGCCGTCAACGAGTGCAACAAAGGAACCGTGCAAAACTTAGCCTCCAGCGTATGCACCAAACTAGCCGACTTACCTATAATCGGCTAACTGAACTTTTTTGAAATTTCCTGTGCCGAAAGATAAATGCAAGTAGGGCAATAAAATGCTGATGATTTGCATAATGTACACATTTATATCAATGCCCGTTACTCAATGTGTTTGTGTGCATGCGTGCGCACGTGTGTGCGTGAGTAAGAGAGAGAGAATTCTAATGGTCCATGAAGATGATGAGTAAATGCATACGTAAAGGATAAAAATATCAAGCAATAAAATGTACCTGGTTTTCAGATTTTGACATTTAATTGATTAAAATCCCTATCATTTATTTTATCAACGGTACAGTAAGGTAGAGTACATGTATGGTATTTACGTAGTACCTACCGTTGTCAATTCGAAAATAACAATACATCTCAAGCACGCTGCAGTTGACCCAACAGAATTTTTATTGCCGCGTACCAATGTTGGTCAGCTGTACAGAATGATGATAACCCACCGGTGGCATTAATCCTTGACAAACAGCACGGTACGTTAAATTGGTCAAATAGTTTTTTTAAAGTTTTTTATGTAAATTACTTTTTCAGATATTTGTGCAAAAATTAAACATACCTTTTTCAGCAAAGTAAACGTTACCAGTAAGTCATTTCATCAGTACATTCAAAAATACGTTTACACTTTTTTCGATAAGGACGACCCTAACAGTACGTGAGGTTAGGAAATCTTAAACAAACGGGGGCAAAATCGTGCCAACACCGATCCCCCGGCGCGTGGGCATGTGTTGACGGCATGATGCGCACTTCGGCGGACTCCAACAAATACGGCATTCACCAGAACCTTTTCATGGTTTCTTTCAGCTTCTTCTTTCACTAATTATGACAGGTACACTGTGTATTTTACTTCTGTGATAAGACCTACAAGAATTCTGATTATAAAACAAAACAATCTTGATCCTCAGTGTCTTTTGCAAGTTAGCAGATTTCAAATATTGTGGTAAATAAAATATATATATTGGTGTCTGTCAATTTTTGCAGCCCGCTTCCTGGCTGAAGATGGACTCCGTGATCAGTCTAACCAATGGTACATGTGCTGTACTGTCCGCTTCTGCCGACAGCAACTGCATAGAGCTTGCTGACCAGTACCTTGGCAACGTCCTGTCTGGTCTGTTCTTTGCCCCTACTGCAAAAACGTGCAAAAAAATCTCGTCATCATCGTAAAAAATTACGCCAGCGATATATGCGACACACTTGCCAGCAAAATTGAATTTTTTGAAAATTTCCAGAGCCCAAAAAATGGAAGAGAGACGAAAAGAAATATATTGATGATTTGCACAACTTACAAATTTATTTCAATGCGTGTTAATCATTGTGTGTGTGTGTGTGTGTGTGTGTGAGAGAGAGAGAGAGAGAGAGAGAGAGAGAGAGAGAGGATTTCAATTATCTCGTCATACATTATTTGTGATCCGGAAAAATTAGGAGCTCTATGCAGATTATGTTTTGTTTCATACGTAAAGGTTAAATACTTTAAGCGATTGAACGTATCTGGTTCTCAGATTAGTAATTTTAATTCTTATTATTCATTTTATCGTCATTTGGACGCTACAAATGGAATTGTACCAATACCTACCGTAAATAATGATACATCTCAAGCGCACTGCAGTTGACCTGACAGAATTTTCATTGCCGCGTACCACTGTGAGTCATCAGGAGAATATGACGATAACCCACCGGCGACATAAACTGGTGACAAAACTCACAATACGTTTAATTGTTCAACTAACTTTTTACACGTTTCTGTTATGTAAATTACTTATTCAGATTAGTGCAAAAATAAATAAATAGATAGATAAATAAATAAACATTTGTTTTTTTTTTAGCATCTTTTCTGTCTACGTATCTTAACCGTACGCATCCAACTGGCGCCATGTTAAATGTACAATTTATAGGATATCCTCTCTGTAAGAAGCAGTAGACGTCTACTATGAGAACTGAAACTCCTTTAGTCTCTAACAGTCAAAGTGACTGTTACACGATTGGTTTTTAAGAGTTATTTTTTATAATCTCTTAGGAGATTATTACAGAGTGTGGCCATCACTGAAATTCTGAAATTCTTTGATGTTTGGTGTCGCGGATTCGTTAATAATTTTCGGAACTTTTTTCGCTGATTTAACAGAATAACTTATATTTTTATGTGTTGCCTACAATGTATTGCTCCTAGCGGGCCATGTGGACAGGGTGTAGGTAATAACTCCTATTACCCGAGGGAAACTTTTTATCCATTTTTGTGAATCGATTCGTTGAGCACGTGCAAAATCGATGAATTCACATGGCTCACAAATGACTGCTTGGTGGTATGGCACGTGATGTAACATTTGTCTGCTAAGACAGCTGCTGTAGATGGCACCACCATGCTGATCACCTTATATCTATCTGTGTTCCAGTCAACATGTATACATACCTAGGGATGTTATGTGACCGTGGCGATATGATGATCACTGAAGCCTGTCCATTTAGGCAAGCTTCAGTGAAGATCGAGGACAACCTCGAGCCGCTACCCTCGACATTTCTGCGTAGCGTCTCTCGGAATACTCTGATTTAACCTCGATGTAGTCTAAAATTTCACGACTACATCTTGGTTAAATCAGTCGAGGTCTCTTAAATGCTGGAAGTTAAAGACAGATTGATCATGAGACCTTCTTGGCATCACGAGAATAGTGACGTTGCTTGTGTTATATATCTACCAGTAGACACATTTTAAATCTCTCACACTCTTTAAAAATTAGCATAAACATTTCACGTTTAACAATTATTATTTATAATTTTATTACATCATCATATGGATATGGTTTGAAAACGGGATTTAGTTTACATTTAAGCCACACGTGCGTACAGATTATTTGTAAATCTATAACTTTTTAACGAGGCTTGTGTTATTACCTTTTGTTTTTAAGCTGTTCATTCTTCCTCTTTATCAGATATATTGGTAAAAATCAAATATTTCCCCCTTTGAACTTGTAATTACATGTAACTACATGTAGCATGCTCCACCCACCTGGCTGGGAAGCCAATGTAATGTTATTGTTTATTTGAAGGTATATAAAGATAGAAATAAATGAGGGGGTCAGTAATCAGTACTTAGGGAGGAATCCCCTCTGTGATCGGTCTGACCAATGGCGGATGTGCCCTTCTGGCCTCTTCTGCCGACAGCACCTGCACACAGCTTGCTGACCAGTACCTTGGCAGCTTCCTCTCTGGTCTGTTCTCTACCCCTGTTGCTTCCATGTGCTCCAACTTGGCCAACGAGTGCAAGAAAGGAACCGTGCAAAACTACACCAGCGTTGTATGCGACACACTTGTCAACAAAATCGGCTAAATGAACTTTTTGTAAATTTGGCACGACTCCGCGTCAACAAGTGCAACAAAAAAAACCTTGTAAAACTTCGCCGGCTGCCAGCTAGAAGTGGTTAGAATAATGGTTTATTCGTGTAAATATTTTATTGGTAGTTATGGTGAAAAAATAAAGCGTTAATTTTGAATACCTGTCTTTTCTGCTTTCGTTTCGTTTCGTTTCGCTTCTGAGAGGGAGAGAGAGAGAGAGAGAGAGAGAAAGCGCACTCTGCCACTCTGTCTCTGTTCACAAACATAAGATCTTTATTTAATCTTGTTGTTAAATTCTAAGTAAGCATCATGCGTGTGTTCGTTTCTGCGATAAATCTTTCGTTGATAATGATATGAACATCTGATTTTATTACTTTCTAAGCAGATTTACCCATCAGTCACTTTATTAATATTTTCGAGAATGCGTTGACCCTAATATTGATAAGAACGTACTTGTGGTTAGGAAATCCCACACAAACCAGGGCAAAATCGTGCCAAATCCCCCGGTGCGTGGGCATGTGCTCGCTGCACCTTTATATAGCTACAGCTGACGGCATACTGCGTACTTCGGCAAACTCAGTCAAATACGGCATTCACCAAAGCTTTTTCAAGGTTTGTTTTTGCTTTTTCTTGCAATGAAAAGTGTAGTTAGGATTTATTGCCCTCAATAATTGGAACCAATAACGACGTACATTTTGTTTTTCACCTCTGTGATAAGACATTCCAAAATTAAGATTTGTAAAGCAAAACAAAAACAAAAAATAATTAATTCTATGACTGCGAGGATTTTGTGTTCAACCGGCTATTATATCTTTTTTCGATAGGTTTGTTCTGCACATTCCATTACCATGAAGGTTTTGATCCTAGTTGCTTTGGTTGCCGTGGCAACGGCTAAACCAGCTGAGAACTCCATTCAGCGTCTTGGTAAGTTTTCTAACCTGATTCTCTAATTAATTTTAATTGATTTAGATATCAATGAATTCAGTTGGTGTCATCAACAACTTGCTCTTGCAAATTTCAGGAACAACTTAAAAACGAATCTCTAAGTAGTCCTTTAAGGAGATGGCTTACGAAAAATATCTCTCGATTTTGGAAACGTGGGGGCTCAGTAAAGGAAAAATAATTCAAAATTTAAAAAAAATTATTCATCAATTACTTTTCTCTAACAATTAATTTAAGTTGTTCTTCTTTCTTTTTTGTTTTTTAGGGTGGGGGTGGGTGGGTGGGGGGGGGGCATGTTCCGGTAATTTTTTTTCTCTTATTTTGTCTTCCTCATAAACTATTCGGGAGTATACGTGTTTTGTTTTTTGTTATTTTATCAAACGTAAATATGGTCACAATCTAAGCGAAAATGACCTTTAAAGATAAGATTTTATGAAATATCACCAGTAGGTGTGTGCAATTTTTTTTCAGTCCGCTCTCTGGCAGAAGATAAGATTATGAAGAGGGATATCATCAGTGTTGTAGTTAATGCCAATTGCGTCTGCGCCATTAACTCCGTGATCGGTCTACCTTATGGTGGATGTGACTTTCTTTCCTTTTCTGTCGCCAGCAAATGCAAACAGTGCTTTGGCAGCCACCCCTCTGCTCTGTTCACTCCTCCCTTTACATCCATATGCTCCAACTTGGCCAAACTCGCCCTCAACGAGTGCAACAAAGGAACCGTACAAAACCTCGCCGACAGTGTTTGCCCCAAATTTGCCAGCTCAATGATTGGCTAAATGAACTTTCCTGTGCCAAAAATACTTGCAAGGAAGACAAAGGAAATACATTTATGATTTGCATAACTTAAACATTGTATGCAACAAACTTATCAACTTACCTATTATCGGCTAAATGAACTTTTTGTAAATTTAACTGTGCCAGAAATATATGCAAGAAAGACAATAATTATTAAAAAAACATTGATGATTTGCATAACGTACATGTTTATTTCAATGTGCGTTTCTTAGTGTTTGTGTACGCATGCGCACGTATGTGTGTGTGTGTGTGTGTGTGTGTGTGTAAGTGTCAGTGCGAGAGATAGGGAGAGGATTCTAATTCTTTTGTTTGTGGGTTAATATGAAAAGGCGCATACAGAGTATGTTTTAATGTATACGTAAAAGTTAAAAATATCAAGCAATAAAATGTACCTGGTTCTCAGATTTTCAACATTTTAGAGATTGAAACTATAATCATCGGTACAGTACGGTACAGTTTGGAATTTTACGCAGCACCTACCGTTGGCAATACCAAAATAATAATGCATGGCAACAGCTAACCAGCTGAGAACTCCATTGAGCATCCTGGTATTTAGACTTTTTTCAATGATTCCACTTTGTGTAATCAACAATTTTCTCTTACCTATTTCAAAAAAAAAATAAAAACTTAAAAACAAATATCTAAATAGCTATTTAAGGTGATGGCTTACGGAAAAAAATCCCAATTTTGGAAACGTGTAGTCTCAAAAAAGGATTAGCAATTAGAAAGTCAGAAAAAAATTATATTCATCACTTACTTTCCTCCAAAAATAAACCCACTTTTCTTTGCATTACAAAAAGAAAGTCGTTTTTCCGAAAGTTTTTAAATTCATTTTTATTTTCTCTTCCTAATTCACTAATCAGGAATAAACCCGTTTTGTTTTTTATTCGACTCCACATGTGACCTGATCACAAACTTATCAAAAAGGAAATTTAAAGATTAATTTTACGACATATCAGAATGGCTGTATGCACGTTTTTGAAGCGCGTTCTCTGCCTAATAGGTTATGAAGAGGGGTGCACATAATCAATAACGTCATAGCCGCCATCTTCAAACCCGTCATGGATTCTGTGATGGGTGTGACCAATGGCGCATATGCCCAACTGTACTCCTATATCTACAACTTCTGCATACAGCTTGCTGACCAGTACCTTGGCAACTTCCTCTCTGGTGTGTTCTCTGCCCCTGTTGCCTCCATGTGTCAACGAGTGCAACAAAAGAACCGTGCAAATCTTTGATCGCACCGTGTGTGGAAAGCTCGATAATGTCGTTGGTTAGATTACCGGTTTATGTGAAGATTTTATTGGTAGTTATGGTGCGAAAATAAAATTTTAGCTTAAAATACCCGTTTTTTTTTTTTTTTTTTTTTTTTTTTGCTTTCATGATTAACACTAACAAAAGAGGTCTCTGAGAGAGAGAGAGAGAGAGAGAGAGAGAGAGAGAGAGAGAGAGAGAACGCACTCTGTCACAGTCCACTTATATAATATCCTTAACTTAATCTTGTTGCTCAGCTCTAAGTAAGCATCACGCGTGTGCATGTTTCTCCGATATATCTCACTTTGATAACGATATGAACATTTGTTTGGACAATATGACGTTAACCCACTGGAGACATTAACCGTTGGCAAAACGCACCATACGTTCAATTGGTCAAATAGCTTTTTAGGCATTTCTTTTATGTATATTACTTATTTAGATATTAGTGCAAAAAATTAAACACAGGTTTTTTTAGTAAAACTTTTGCATTCTGTTTCTCACGTGTCCGATCCGCGACCGCGTGCGCGCGTGTGCGCGTGTGTGTGTTAAAACCTAAATCCCACTTTGTTTCCTATCAACTTAATATATCAGAACTATCTGTAACTTAAATTTGGACATAGATTGACCTTAAAATTGATATGGGACACAAAATTCACACGTGTCATTTTGGGTTATCATATAAACAGGGACAACATCGTGACGAGACAGAGTCCTTGACGCGTGGACAGCTTCACATAGCAAGAACCTTAATTATTAAAGAACCACCGAGGCTCTTAGTATTTACGTCAGCGGATTTGTTTACCAACTGCAGTCTCTTTAAGACCGTTTTCAAGGTTTGTTCATGTTTTAGTAGTCTTTACATAACAGCAACTCACTAGTACACTTTTGCAAATATATCGTCTTTATTCGACTGAACCAACGTCTATAATAACAACACAATTTTTGCATTGGCATGCCTACTAAAAGAATTGTGAAATGTTGTATTAAAAATTCTCGTAACTCTAAGTTTGGAAGAACTTTGTGTTCAGTCAACTGATGTTACATATTTCCAGCAGGTTCGTTCTTCAGACTCCGTACCATGAAGGTTTTGATCCTCGTTACTTTGGTTGCTGTAGCAACGACTAAACCAGCTAATACCGCCTTCCAGCATGTTGGTAATTCTTCTTTTGCACTTATAACAATAAAAGACTAATATAAAATGCCAAAGCAGCCCTTTTACTTGTAACAGATAACTTATGGCGATTCCATAAAATCCCAGCATCTCCAACAGTTGTCAGCTATCATTATCAAAATTTGACCGAGCCGCAAACTCAGAATATTTGGGGTCTTAATGAAGGAAAAGGCATTTGAAAGTCAGAAATATTAGTATTCATCGAAAACTTCTCGCCCACCACACGCCAACCTGTCTTTGGAATATGAAAAAAGAAAAACGTTTCCTGTGATGTCTTATTTGATATATTCCTTTTTTTGTTTGTTTGTTTATTGTTTGATCTAAACCTTGGGCCCATTACGCACGTGTTCAAGTATCAACTTTTTTATGTTTGTCTCTTGCAACGTGAATCTGATCACCACCTTTGGGTGCATGATCACCACCTTTGGGTGCATAATCATGGCTGTGTGGCCGCTTAATTTTTTTTTCACAGCTCGCTCTCTGGCTGAAGACGAGGTTATGAAGCGAAGCGTCATGTCTGACGTTGCTGCCGCCATCTGCACCCGCGTCATAAACTCAGTGGATTTTCCAACCCAAACCAGTATGTGCTTTTCCGTGACAGCATATGTCTCAAGCACATGTTCACTGTATGCTGAAGACAACCTCGGCAACCGCTACAGGCAGTACACTCAAAAGATCCTTTCAATGTGCTCCAACTTGGCCCAGCGCGCCGTCAGGGAGTGCTACAAAGGCCAGCTACAGAACATAGCCGACAGAGTATGCAAAAATCCTGAAACCTTAATCGGCTAAATGATATTTTTGTAGATTTTCTTTGCCATGAATGCTATGGAGATAAAGAGAAGCAGATTGATGATTTGCATTTCATTATTTGTGTGAATTTTTGTCTCACGTGCGTTGCTCAATTTGTGTGTGTGTGTGTGTGTGTGTGTGTGTGTGTGTGAGCGACAGAAGTAGTATTTTGGTTTAATGACGCACATGTAAATGGTCTATCACAACCCGCCCGACAGCCCAAAATTACAGTTTCTTTTAACGAAGTATTAAGGACCAGGAGCAATTCAACTTCGAGAAAAAATGATCTTCCAAGCATACAAATACGCACATTGCAGATTGTAATGTTACGCATGGTAAAACTCTGACTAGTGCCGTTATTATCTTATTGTGTTCTGCACAAAGTTATACAAACTTATCGACTATAAATTATAGTGTAAAAACTGAGAATAAGCTTTACAACCATTAAACACGCCTACGGGCATTGGGAGGGGTTTTCAACGTGTTTCAAAAAAGAGAGACAAAAATCATTTTAGACAGGAAAAGGTGCAGTCTACATATATGTTATTACTATGTTTAAAGAATCCATTTTTTTCTGAAGAAGCGCCACCTCCTACAGTGTCTCACTACCGCACGGGTGACGCATGTGTTTCTTGAATCGCGTGACACTACAGTTAGAAAATACAATGGATGTATCTGGGAAGAAATTATTCTCCAGACAATTTTGACACCAACAGTTTGACGACCCAGTTGTGTACATAATATAACATTTATTTTGTACAAACACACTTGTTTCACTCGTCTACATTAATTAAATAACTACAAAAATGTGTACAGTCAATGCTTTTTTTCTGACCTAAACGGACTGTAATGTCAGTAAAACCGTTACCTCAAAATGTAAGTCATTCAACACACTGAATGCTAAAAGCAAATCAATCAGCATCAAAACAATGGTTCACAAATTGATAACACCTTAGGGCAGTGAAAATGGCCTTTTTTTCTTTCTTTCTCATCCAACGTGACACTTGAAATAAAATAGTGATAAAGCGAGATACATATTTATTGTAAACAGTGTAAAGTGGGAATGGCACTGATAATACTGAACAACATCTTATAGTTTTTAGATTTTTCTGTCAATGTTTCTAAACACCAATTACAGTAATCATACAGATTGAAGTACAAGCATATTTCAATGCTCTGTGAAGTTATCTCTTTAAATGTTTTTTTATAACTCAAAAATGCTGTTTAACACCTATCAAGATCTCTGACCAATGTTGCTCTCAAAATAGTCTGTTATCTAATTTTTTATTTTTTTGGCCCCTGTCGAGACTGCATACAGTGCATTTTAGTCATAACAATATCAATTTTTCACATGAAACCTTCAACATGTTTAACATTCCTTGGTTTTCAGTCTCTGCAAAGCCCCTGCCTCATTGTTCTGGTGGCAAACTACTGATAAGCTAAGTTGTAACAATACATAATTGGCTAAAAAACGGAGAAAATACAGGTATATGGGGATTTCGGCCAGGGCAGTTGGGGGAGGGGGACAGCCAAATACCTACTCTCTAAAATCAGCACTTTAAGGTCGACCAGTTCTTTAAATTAAAAAGTGGCCATGTACATGTAGCTTCCTCATTAACCTGATTAACTGTAATGACTAGATGCCACTTCATATCAATGCATCTCTGATTATTCATTTTAATGAATAAAATACTTTGTGACTATTTTTAAAAAGCTTTCTATAAAAATAAGCAAACCCTTTTAACTCCTACATACTACGATATACTATAATATTACTACCCCCAATGACAATTCTCATCATTGTTCTCCACTCAGAAGTTCCTCCGCCTCTAAGCCATTACTTTTGATCAGCTTGGGGATCTCACTGACAGTGCTGCCCTCTGGATTCTGGCCGCTGACCACGGCTATCTTCTCTCTGGTCAGTTGGTCTGGGGTGAAGCAAAGGGGCAGTAACTCTCCAACGGTCATCTTGTGGTAGGTCAGGTCTGGACGGGTCATGTATACTTCAATGTGGGTCCCAAACTAGAATACAGATATTGTATTAACAGGTTTTAGCACTGATGACTTGTCTAACACAGGAATTAAACTTCATTCCTTCCAATGGGCATGTTTCTTAAGTTAATTTTGTTCAAATGTAAAGAATATGGCAAACAATTGATTCACAAAAACAACTGAGCAGATTCTAAAATACACAGTTCAATTATAAATTAAGCAGCTGCTTTTCTGAGAAATAAATATTCCAGCAAGCTTTTAGATTTTATTTTGGTGCTTGAAAAATAGTTTTCAAACAAAGTTACTGGAGGTGTTTTTAAAAGAGGTAGTAGTAGTAGTAGTAGTCCCATTCACAATATCTGTAATTACTCACTTTATTTTTTCCACCAATATCTACATTTTTGTTTAAAGGAGCATTAAATCTTAAATGTTTATGATAAAGTTACAAAAATTCATAGTTTTTGAGCACTTTACAATGATAGTTTTGGAGTGCTAGCTTGTCTCTTTATAAGTATATGAAAGCGTAAGGATAACAATGTTAATAAGTTGGTTAATGAGCACCAATTCTCTGTCAACTAGGAAGATTATTATTATTATTATTATTTTATTTATTGATTTATTTATTTTTTGTTTTGTTTTGTTTCTTAAACATAAGTTAAATGGACACGGCAGCTAAATTTTTGGGTCGATGAATGTTTATATTTTTCAAAGGGAGGGGTAATGCAAAATTCTAGTCTTGGCAATTTTTGATGATAAAAAACTCAACACAAAGGCATTTCCTGGGGCCAATTGTAATTTTTTCCCACTCATGAAACTAATGCACAATGCAGTATTTTTACTTGAAAAAAAAAATAATGATAATAATAATAATTTCTTTAAAATGAGGATTGGACTTGCTTATTAACCAACTTGAATATTGCCTGGGGTGAGTGCCATACACATCCAGCAGACAGTGTTATCTTACCTCAGCTAAAACCTGTCTACAGGCTCCACACGGGACTATGAAGTTGTTCTTTAGGTCACTAAAATGATAAAGATCATAAAACCAATAGAGACAGTCTTGATTTTGATACAAAGAATTAATAATAATAATAATAGACAAAAGAAACAGCAAATTAATGGTTCTATATTATGCTCTGTTTTTGTTTTGTTTTTTTACAAATATATAATAATAACTCTATCTTTTCAATTTTTATAAATACCAATTTTTTAGTTTATCTTGAATAGCATTAAAAACATATTTTCAGCATTTGTGATGCCTTTACTATATTGAATGGAACTTAATTAAGCCTACTAGGTAAACCTGCTTTTCAATTTTGTTGCTGACTTTCAATGGGAATTGATATTTTAATTAAGAAAATTCATGATTTAAAAAATACAGTATCTGTAAATTCACAATTTCTCCTATGAAAAGATTGAGTCATTATTCCAATTCACACTTATGTTTGTCATGTGTCTGCTTTTTTTTCTGTTCTTCATTACCTGGATATGGCAATGGCAGTGTAGTCTCTGTGTCCCTCGGACACTGCCTTCACCACTGCTGTCCTCTCAGCACAGATTGTCAGACCGTATGACGCATTTTCAACATTGCATCCTGAAACATATTACTTTCACTTTCACTTTCACTTTTATACAAAATTCCAGTTCATAGCAATGATTTGAGTAAAAAACTTTTTAATAGTTACTCTGAGAACTCATAATATTTCCACAAACTTTGAAGTCAAATGCAAAGATTAACCCTCCCACCCACCCTTTCATCAGTGAGTCATAGGCTTACCAGTAAAGACAGTCCCGTCACTACACAGCAGTGCTGCACCTACTCTGAACTGGCTGTACGGAGAGTGGGTGCGATCCTTGGCAACATGACTCAGCTTTATCAACTTCTGTATCTCCTGGGTTTTTCCTGGAAGTAGGATGTGATGGCTTTAATTTCATCAATAGTGAAGGAATTGCTTGGAACAGTGTGGTACACAGCGTTTACATCAAGAAATTTAAAAAATAATTACTGTAACAGTACTTTTCTTACCAAAAAGAGTTTTTTACTTGTTTTATTTTAAGATTTTTCATGTTCAAAAGTTGTGACAAAAACTGGCATCCTGAAACGCAAAAATCACTTTATTCCAGCAGCATATTATGCCTGCTCCCACCCCTTTTTGTTTTATTGATATTTAATTTTTTTTTAATCTTTGAAATTTAGAAGTTCATTGTTGACAGCATAAGAAAAAGAGAATTCAAATTTTTTAAACATTACAAAACTTTTCAGGGTCCATCAGAATTAATATTAACAAGGGATAAACTTATTAAGATAATATTCCTATATTTAGATTGGAGAGATTAAGAGGTATTCAAATTTAGCTTTGAGGTCTTAATTTACATTCAAAATGAAAGTTGAAAAACTGACCCCCCCCCC